TTCCTTTGTTTCTTAAATTCATTGTTACTTATTGGACTCAGGTCTTGAAGTATAGAAATTCTTTTTATCTTACCATTAGTTTTTGAAGGTATAAACCAACTGTAGGCATTTTTGCAATGTTTATTTAGAGAACCCAACAAACTAGTAACCAAGGCTTTAATATTTCTAGTTTTTTTTTTTTTTTCTAGTGGTAAGATTCTTTTTTTTTTTTTTTCTTTTTCTTTGGAAAGAGGGGAATTTCGTCCCAAATCAAAGGAATGAAGTCTGGCTCCGGAGGAGGGTCCCCGACCTCGCTGTGGGGGCTCCTGTGTCTCTCCGCCGCGCTCTCGCTCTGGCCGACGAGTGGAGAAAGTGAGTCCGCGCCCGCCGCCGCCGCCACCGCCGCCGCGGGAACTTTTCCTCCGAGGGGGGCTGCGCCTGGGGGGCGAATCCCACCGCTGACTGGGGGCTCCCTCCACCACCCCAGGCTCGGGGCGCAGCCCGGAGGGGGCTCGGCCCTTGAGGAGGACCCCGAGTGGGGGGACCCCTCGAACTCTGGGCCGGGCCTGGGCGGGGGGGGGAGGCTTTCTGTCCCCAGCGCCCTGTCCCGCGGCCGGCTGGGTGGCTGGGTGGGTGGGCAGGCAGGGGTCTCTCCCGGCTGGCTCACTGGCCACTCCAGGCACCAGGACCCGGTTGGGACGTTGGTCCTGGGTGTGTGTATGTGTGTGTGTGGGGATGCGATTCCGGGGTCCCCCACCGCCGCCATCCTCATCATCCCCCCACTCCCGCGTGCGCGGGCCACGTAAAACCGGGGTGGGTGGTGGTGGTGGAAGGGGGGTCCCCTGGGCTGCGCCGCTGTTGGGGGTGTCGTGGTGGGGAATGGAGTCGCCCGCCCCGTCGGGTGTGAGTTGTTCTAGGGGGGGTGGGGAAGGTGCCCCGCGGGGAGGCTCCCTCCCCCCCCCCACCGCAACCTCGGGACACGTTTCCAAACATCACGGCGCGCGCGGCCTCCTCAAGCCTAACTCGCTTTGCCTGGCCGCTCCCGGGGGGGGGGTGTCTCCAGTTCAACCCGTCCCGCGGCGGGTTCCCGCTCTCCCCCGGTGTCCCGGGGTGGGGTGTGGGGTGTGTGTGTGTGGGGAGACCCGTGAGGTCGAGGACTTTCGTCAGCCTGGCTCTTCCCAGGGAGCGCGACTTGGATTTCCCTTCCCCATTCTTCTCTCCCCCCCCCCCCCGGTTCCAGAGGGTTCTGGGACCTTCTCCCAGTGTCTCCCTCCCGGAGGGAGGGGTGGGGTGTGGTGGTCAGGACCGCGTCCGCGTGTGCGGTGATCGCGGGCCGGTGGACGGAGCCGGGGCGCGTCGTGCGCCACGTGCTCGCGGTGCGGGCTCCGCGCGGGGTCCGGGACGCGCGGTGTCGTGCGCTGTGCGGGCCGTGGAGCGCCGGGACCGGGGCGCGGTGGAGGGTGAAGGGCCGTGGTTCTGGTTCTGGATCTGGTTGTGGTTGTGGATGGAGAGTTGTGTGGCCTCCGCGCCCTGCACTGCCTTTGTACACAGTTAATCAGCGAGATGGCTCCGCACGCGCTATCGCTTGCAATCGGATAGCTTTTGTTAGGGTGGTGTCGGGTAGGGGCTGGTGGGGAAACGCGGGGAAGTAGGGAAGTGAGACCAGGCAGGAGGAGGAGGTGGGGGGGGGGTTGCTTTCCTTCAGAAAAAAAGGGGTGGTGGTGGTGGTGGTAGACGGGTGCTTTCGAGATGGTAGGGTAATCGGAACACGATTCCAAGTTTTAAGTGCAGTCCCCAAAAGTGAGGGCGAGTTGGTGAGTAATGTTTGCCCAGGGTATGTGTGCAGGTGGTGCCTATTAACGTGCGTGCGTGTGTGTGTGTGTGTGTGTGTGTGTGTGTAAGTAAATCTCGACTCAGCCTTGAGGATCGATGGGGAAGAACCCGGAGGCGGGAACTGGAGAGGAAGGTGGGTGGGTGGGCAGTTCAGAGAGGCTGTTTCTTGAAACAGATCTTGCCTCAACGTCTTTGAAGAAACAAGTCCAGGATGGAGTTAAGAGCGGAGCTTTATGGAATTAGCCTGTTTACTGCGCAAAGAGGGGAGGTGGGGGAGGGATGGGGGGGAGGCCTCGGGAAGGGCGGACCTCCCCAATCCTGGGCTCTCCTGCTCTTTGTTTTCCAAACTTTGAGCACACGGGATTGGGTGAAAAGCTTCCGGGCTCTTATCCACTCAAGCATTTTAGGTGGTGGTTTTTTTTTGGGGGGGGGCTGGTGGTGGTGACGTCGGTGGCGGTAGATGGGAGCGTTTCTAGACTTTAAACTCGAAATATAAGTTTAGAAGACACCTGAGAGCGAGTCCGTCTATTAGGGAATGCTGTTGAAGTATGTAGTTTTGAAACCCAAAGCCTTGCACGTCCCCATCTTTCCATTCCCCCTTGCCCCAAGATCTCTGCATGTTGCTGTTGCTGTTTGGTGATTTCTTGAACACACAAGGTGGAGGGAAAGGCATTTCAATGTGTGTTTTTAATCCCTGCAACCCTGAGTGGTTCCGTTCTTAAAGCCTGAGGGGAAAATCAGAAGGTACCCCCCCCCCTCCAAATTCTGGGCCTGCCCTTCCCTTCTGCACTGAGAAATGAGGCATACTCATCCAGTGTGGAAGGTGCTAGACCACTTTACTCGGAAGAAAGGCACAGGACAGGCATTCTCTCCGAGGTTCATCTGTTGATGGAGACAGAGGCTGTGGGTTTTATTTGAAGGTATCTGGTTGGCGTATTTATGGATTTATGGACGTTGGAGGTTGACGGTAGTGGGATGAGCTTGTTTTGTCTAGTTTTGTGTTGGTCGTGGGGCTTGAATTTAGGACCTGGGTGCTGTCCGTTAGCTTTTGTGCTCAAGGGTAGTGCTCTTACCACTTGAGCCACAGATCCACTTCTGCCTTTTTGTTGGTTAATTGGAAATAAGAGTCTCACATACTTTTCCTGTCTGGGTTGGCTCCGAACTGTAATCCTCAGAACTGTCTACTGAGTAGCAGGGATTACAGGCATGAGTCAACGGTGCCAATCTAGTTTTGTTTTGTTTTTTTTAAATCTTTAACTTAGAAAATGTAGTTTTGTGAAGCCAATGCAGTTTGCCTCGTGTCCTGAGAATGTGAACCCATCTTCCAAGTGAGGGACATTGGAAGCTATGAGGGACAGGCAGTGAGTCCCATGGCTGTTTGTTTTTTTAATCTGAGTGCACTTTAATGGTAAGGTAAGGTGCCTACCTTCTAAAAAGGACTTCATCTTTCTGCTCCAGGCACAGCTACATCCTATTGTTAGAGAAACCTTAGGTATGTGAAATGTTAGTGCTTAGAGAAGTTAGGGTTTTATTACCTACCAGAAAGAGAACCCACAATAGGAACTTTTGAAAGAACCTAAATAGCAAATTATAATTTAGGTTCTCTGGAGAGAAATAGCAAGTAAATGGTGTTTTGTGGAGGTGTGTGTGTGTATGTATTTCAAGTTTTAAAAGCTGGAATGTTTGATGTGTCAAAAGGATTAGAGAAGTTCAAATATGTTAAGTTCAAAACAGTGGATTTGAAAAAAAATATTATAAAATTAGATTTAGGAGTCCATTTTAATAAAAGACCACAACTTGTATGATTCTGTTGATATGAAATGTTCAGAATAAGCCAGTCCATAGAGAAGGAAGGGAGATAAGTGGGTGCCAGGACTGGGGGTGGGGGGGGAGGGGGATTGGGGAGTGCCTGCTAATGGGTACAGGGTTTCTTTTTGGGGTGATGCAAATGTTCTAAAATTAGTTTGTGGCAAAGGTTGCACAACTCCAAAGATACTAAAATGTGAGTTTTATGGCATGTGAATTATATCTCAACAAGCCCATTTTACTTTTTAAAAAAGAAAAACATTAATGTCAGAAAGTAGGTTAAAATTGGCCAGGTTCAATTTTCCCTCAGGTTGGCATCACTTTTCTTTTAAGAATTTATACGTTAAAACAAAACATTGATCATTGTAGCCAGATCAGGCATAGGCAAAATGTCTTGGTCAAAGATAGTTTAAGAATTGAAAGATTGGATTAAAAACAACAACAGCACATAAATGTTCATGAAAAGCAGTAAAATGCGCAGCTGCATCTGAAATGAGGTTGACGTTTTGTAGAGTTTTTAGCAGCTGAGTCTAGATGGCTGATAGTGTTTCCAGTTTCATTATGTATATTTTCCAATACAGAAATAATGCACTGGTTTAAAAGGGTGGAGAATTTCACTCTGTACTTTGATTAGGCCATATTAACCACAAGTGATAGGAAGCCTATTTTTTTAAAGTAATTGGTTAATTTTTGTGCCAGTTCTAGAGCTTGAACTCAGGGCCTAGGTGCTGTCCCTTAGCTTTTTCTGCTCAAGCCACAACTCAACTTCTGGCTTTTTGGTGGTTAATTGGAGATGAGAGTTTCAAGGACTCTCTTTCTGCTTGGTTTGGCTTTGAACCATGATCTTCAGATCTCAGCCTCCTACTAGGATTAGAAATGTGAGCTATTAATTTTATTTATTTTTTCTTTCAAAGTATTGTGCCTTTTTCCACATTTAACTTGGAAAAGCCTTGGAAAACAGTTATTTACATTTTTTCCCACCTTCTTTGTCCAAGGCTTAGTTACAATGTTTCTTGATCTTATTGTTACAAGGTCTGTAACAAAAGCTTACTGTATCTACTGGGTTATTTTAGGGTTTTTTTTTCCCTTTTCCCCTAAGGGAGCCCTTCAAGGGTCAATCCAATTTTTTTCTAAATCTGGTTTCAGTTTGTTTTCTTAAGAAGCTATTTAGTGAGTTTTGCCTGTACTTAGTGGGCACCTACTGTGTGAACCTGACCTGTCCTAGGCATTGCATATACTCCTTCATGAAAGGAGATTATTTGAAAATTCACTTTTTTTTTCCTGCTAGACTCTTCATCAGATGGACAATTTTCACATAGAGAGTAGGTTGCATTTTAAAGGCCCTAGGCCTTTAAAGTGTTGCTCATTTGTGTAAATAAATGCTGGATTTTTTTTTAAACCTAATTTATACTTTCCCTTATATTGCAATGTAGGGCAGACAGGTAGCTTGTCCATTTTAACCAATCCGCTACCTTCTTTCTATCCCTGGTCCTGACAATTGTGATAAAAAAAATGTATAGTGTTAGGCTGGGCAGGTGGTACACATCTGTAGTGTCAGCACTCAGGAGGCTGAGGCTGGAGGATAAATAATACAAGGCCAGCCTGGGCTGCTACATAGTGAGACTTTCTCAGACAAACCAACAAGAACCTAAGAGTTACGTGTGTGTGTGTGTGTAAAGGACCAGTATCAGAATTTGTCTCTCTTTGTACATTTTCTAATCATCATTAGAGGA